GGATAATAAAACAATGATTCCACTCGCGCTTGTTGGATATGAGATGGTTAAAGCCAACTCGGCGCTCTGCACCTCGTTGGCTATTATCTGCTATCCAACGCGCGCTCGTAGAATAATTGTTGATTAGATTATGTTGATCATGCCGTTGGGCGGTATTGTTCGAGTTGTACATGTCATTAGTCCTGACCCGAAAACTTACACAGTTTGAATTCAATAACATTTATCACCAAATTAAACTTTCCGTAAGAACTTGGTAAAAAGATCACTAAAACGTTAGCGTCGATGACATCGCATTTAGCGTTTATCTCTCGTTAATTTGACGCCTATCAAAGGTACCTTTTATTTTGTTTATTTTTTTACTTCACTAGTTACTCACCGTAATTTGCCTGGAGAGTGAACATTGGCTTGTAAATCAGTCAGTTGATAGCTAGGAGTGGCCCTCTCGCACCAAATCTGTCCAAAGCAATAAAAATACAAAAAGATAATACTTTTTTTTTTCATCTGCAGATGCAAAACGATTTACAAAGCACTCTGGCAATCAGAATTAATGACTTAATTATTACAAATCGGAAAGACGACATGTTTTTTCAGAGCTAATGTCTGCGTCTTGTCCCCTATCGTTACTCACAATATAATGTATACTGCTGTGTTGCTGAATTTTATTTTAACATTATAGCTTATGTCGTTAATGTCCGGCACTCGTCTATCATTACAAAAAAAGCGATGGAAACGGAGTCCATTCACGCATTTGAACATGCATTATTCAATAACAAAGACATTGCATAGTATTAAATCAAGCAGACAACAAACACGACATTCCAAAACCATAGTTAATAGAAATAAATGGTTATGAAGGCCGGTAATCATCAAAAAAGGAAACAAACAGGCTAAGATTTATGTTGGAAGGTCCTTGACCCCACACATCTTTTGTGTTACGCTCATTGACTATGTATGACTTACATAATCACCGCAATCAGCTTCTATTTTTTAGTTGTATGAGCACTGAACATAAACCACCTTTTGTATTTTGTCAGGTTTTTGGCAGGGTCAACCCCGAAAATGGCCAACAAACACATACAACAAAGAACTTTGTCAGGTTTCCTAACCATTTCCTGCTATTAACTATGCCAAAAGGAAACATATAACAAGAAATCGTTTCTACCAATACGCAAGGACTCGACATTTAATAGTCTTACCTGAGCAAAAGAAAGGAAAAACAGTTGGTTGGAATTGAGACCAAGATTAGGCAGTGTGCTATCATGATCAGTCTCAGCAAGCCACTTGTGGTAAGCCTGTTATAAACCCATAATATCCGGCATCAGAACTTTCAGAAAATATTCACGGAAGTTTCTTTAATTTAGTTCAGTTACCATTTCTTTTAGGATAGACAAGTTATTCAAGGTCAACTGGTTGGCAGATAGGAGGTCTTGGACTCAGAATCTCCAGATTTTTTGTTCGAAAGCCGGTTAACGATCGTTCACGCTAACACAGGATTATAAGCTGATCGAAGGGTTAATTTTTCTTGTATAAAAATGTTTTTCCCCACTTATGCTTTGTGTAGTTTGAGATTATTCAAACTCAAAACTGAAGAACAAACAATATAAACGGAAAACCTAACCAAAAAGGTACAAAACTCAAACCAAAATTCTCGCTAATCCGGCATCCTGGATAGCTAGCTTACTTGGGCTTTGCACAGCCCTGCCCAGTGCTCTCACTACCCTACTGCAATGTCCCCAACCTCTAACTGGAGAGTCATAGAGAACCAAACTACCTTCCTGAAAACTTGTCTACCCGTCATGATGGAGTCTCCATTAAGTGACACGAAAATCGTTAAATAACTCATTAACACTTCAAAACCATCTCCTTACCCTGTAGGCAAGCTTTAATCCACCATTGTCGGCTGTGTTTTCTCCTAACGTCTTTTTACCATCCAACTAGAAGATAAATAAGAAATAACAATACGTGTAAACTTGAGAGGAGATGGAACAGGACTTAACAGTTTACAGCAGGAGACTTGGCCACCGAACGACAACAACAAACGAGCGTTGTTTTGAAGAGGACAGGTGACTCCAGTTGAAAAACCAAGTTAAATCGCTTTCAGTAAGCCCGCGTGGCCTTGTAGAAAAAAGTTTTTTTAAAGGGCTAATGGTCAGAGGAATTTGTACGTTATGACTGACTGCAGAGTTAATTTTCTGATTTCCTGCTTGCACAGATTGTGTTAGGTGGCTCGGGCCGAATCCTTTGAAATTAAACCCTTTATAATGAAAAGAAACTGCCCATGAACCGCAATGATGTGACTTTCATCTCTAACTCTAACTTTGACATTGCTGTTCCCAGTTGTACAGTCTTGACGCATGTCTACAGAACCTAGTAAAATGTTTTAGTTTACCAAGAGTTCTCTGTAGCTCAGTACAGTGGCTAAAGCGGCTGAATGGTACACGGGCGGTCACAAGTTCTATCGGAAACTGTATTTTTTCTGATTGCCTTACCCTCGGGACAAACAGCCGAACCTTTATTAAGCTGCCACATATGAAACCGCCACTCCTTGTTAAGCGGGCAGTTACCAAATTCCCGGTATTATTGTAAGTATAAGCTCATCAAAGTTTTTAGATGACTTACATGGTGTCCTAAAACTGTATAATGCTGGTATTCATTCACTAAACATTGCTCTCTATTTAAAAAGCCAACTAGAGATTCTTCATCCCACCAGTTTGCTAGGTTTCCTTTTTTATCAAACATGGCACCTGTAAGATGAAAGCACAGCGGGTGTGTTAAGTTATCGTCTGTAACAGTTTCTAATTATTCATCTTTATGAGTATTTCGTTAACTGAAGTAGGAAACCCGTAGCAGGGAAGGGGAAACAGACCTGAAGAATCAAATCCGTGAGTAAGCTCATGACCAACCACAAATCCAATGGCTCCAAAATTCTCCGCGCTAATAAAATAAAACAAATAATAAATTATGTAACTGAGATGAAGGAGAGAAAAAGCTTACAAACAAACCAAACAAAATTGACCAGTGGAGCATTAGTAGCCTAAGAAAATAGCGCGTGCTGGTGGTTACGGATGTAGGGGACTGGGTTTTGGCAGGCGCTGTTGGCCACGGAAGGAGGGGTCTGGTTTCTGGCAAGTGCTGGTTGCCACGGTTAGAGGGGTCTGAGTTCTAGTCCAAAGAAACGTCACAACAATGTCTTTCTCCGCCCAGAATTACCTATGATTTGTCAAGGAAACTGGCAAAATTTTACAGATAA